CCTGTTTACGTCTTTGACGGCAAGCCCCCGCAGCTGAAATCGGGGGAGCTGGCAAAGCGGACTGAGCGCCGGGCTGAGGCCGAGAAACACCTGCAGGAGGCTCAGGAGGCTGGAGAGGAGAACAACATTGAGAAGTACAGCAAGAGGCTGGTCAAGGTGACCCAGCAGCACACTGATGAGTGCAAGAAGTTACTAACGCTGATGGGCATCCCCTACGTGGAGGCGCCGGGGGAGGCCGAAGCCAGCTGCGCTACCCTGGTGAAGGCTGGGAAGGTCTACGCAGCTGCCACAGAAGATATGGATTGCCTGACCTTCGGCAGTCCCGTCCTGATGCGGCACCTCACTGCCAGTGAGACAAAAAAGCTGCCCATTCAGGAGTTTCACCTGAACCGCATTCTGCAGGATCTCGACCTGACCTGGGAACAGTTTGTGGATCTGTGTATCCTCCTGGGCTGCGACTACTGCGAGAGCATCCGCGGCATTGGGCCCAAGCGTGCCGTTGAGCTCATCAGGGAGCACAAAACCATCGAGAAGATCATTCAGCAGATAGACACCAAGAAGTACCCTCTGCCTGAGAACTGGTTGCACAAAGAAGCCCAGAAGCTCTTTCTAGAGCCTGATGTGGTCAACCCCAACGCCGTCGAGCTGAAGTGGACCGAGCCGAATGAAGAGCAGCTCGTCCAGTTCATGTGCGGGGAGAAGCAGTTCAACGAAGAGCGGATCCGCAATGGGGTCAAGAGGCTGAGCAAAAGCCGGCAGGGCAGCACGCAGGGCCGGCTGGACGACTTCTTCAAGGTGACGGGCTCCATCACGTCAGCCAAGCGCAAAGAGCCGGAGACCAAGGGGTCGGCAAAGAAGAAAGCCAAGACCAACAACGCCTCAGCCGCAAAGACCAAAAAGGGAAAATAGCCAGACCAGCCGACCACAAACCCCTGCGATTGGTTTTTACGCTCAACCAGGAATTTTAAGCTAATAACAAACGGTCGTCTTTCTGTCCTGCGTGTTAGTGCCGGGAAGGATGCTGCTAACGTGCTTCCCACCAAAGCCAGGTTAGTGAATCGGATAAGCGCCCCCCACGCGACC